TGTTTAATTCTTTTCTCTCTCTCTCTTTTTTTTTTTTTTTTTTTTTTTTTTTAAACTGTGAGAGAATTAGAACACAAGCCAATGCCAAGCCCTGCTTTCTGCTATAAATGCCTCTGACTGCTCTCCTAGGCTTGTCTGCATGAAACTTCTTCTACAGCTTGCAGAAATATCTTTTAAGGAAAATGCAAAAATACTCCAACAAAAGGAGACAATCTCAAGTGCAAAATGCTTCCAGAGCAGGCTGACATCTCTGGCAAAACCCAGCCTGTCCTTGTCATCTCGCTACGTTCTGCCCAGCAGCTCAGGCAGCGAGAGCTGCTGTGATGGGGCACCGACAAGTCCCCGCTAAATATGTTCTCGAAGTGCAAGGCTGAAAGAAACCTCAGACGCAAAGCCAACGGGAGAGAAAGATAAGAGGGCTTGGCTAGTTCAGGACGTCTCTGTCCCTCTCCAGCGTTTTGCCCATGCAGTCAACACTTGGTCCCAGGAGTGGCCCTCGGTGGGCTGCAGGTCTCTGCCGGGAGCCGTGTCCCTGCTCAGCAGCTGCGTGCTGGAGCCGGGACGGGCAGAGTCACCCCAGCCGGAGCGCTGGGCCCACTGGTGCTTGACTGCAGGGCGATGCTGTGTCTGCACCAGCTTCTCCGCCTGAGAGCAGCCCTTCGTCTCCCCAAGGACTGGCTGGGAGAGCCTGGAGCCACCTGGAGTCACTCGTCACCTGTGAACGTCCTGAGGAGCCCGAGGGGACCCGTGGCCTCAGCTCCGGGGACACGGGCACCCGCGCAGGCAGCGAGGCAGTGATTCCCAGCTCCGTCCCTCTCAGCATCTCCTCGGGCTTGGAGCCTGCATGGGGGCACTCCAGACCATCCTGCAGCTCCAGGCGCCGGGGCACAGCTCGGGGCACAGCCTCCGCGTGCAGCCCGGGCGCTGCCGCCGCCGGCATCCGCTCGGCCCCGACGTTGCACGCTCCTCGCGCTGAGGAGCTCGCTGAATTTGTTTGTGCATTTTCTTATTTGTACCTTGTGAGTTTGCTGGCTGAACACACATGTGGGAACATCTGTGAACATTTATGCACTTAAATAATAAAAAAATCGCTGTTGAATTAACGAGGAGTCATGTATGGAGATACGCTGGGGTGAAAGGCCGAAAGGGCCAACTACCATCCAAAGTACAAGAGCTAGCAAGTAAATCCACATTTATTGCTAAATCGCTGGATAGGAGGATAATCTGGCATTTAGAAAGCAATTTATTTATGCTTTTGGTACTTGTTTAAATATTTATGCCATGAAAGAAAGAAGAAAATCCACTCCAATATAGGAATATCATTGTAGCAATGGCCTTTAAGATTAATGGGAGTAAATTAGCCTGGCATTTCATTTACATCCAACGAAGAAATAGATAAAGCCCTCTTGTGATGGATTTTCTTCATTAGTTAGGAGAATGCCTTAGGTACAGCTTGTGACATTGTTGCTTTCAGGTGGTTAGACAAACAGTTTATCAAGAGGGTATAAAATTGTCAGGAAACGAAGCAGATTAATGATCAGTAAAAGGAGGATCATTGAATTTATGATAGAAGCAGCAGCATCGCTGCAGGAACAGCCTATTAGGCAGCCGACGTGGGCACCGCGCGGGGCCAAGGCTGCGCCAGCGCGCAGCAGATTTACAGCCCGCCTTGAGAAAGGGCTCACGAGCAGAGACAGCTCTCAGCGACCCAGAGCTCAGGAGGAAGAGCCTTGATGGCCCGGCCTGCAATGCTGTAAAGCGCTCGCAGCCGAGGTTGCCCCAAGCAAACACGCTCCGGGCCTGAACTGCACCGCTGCTATCGGTGCCCGGATGGCGGCTGCCTTGGGGCAGTGGTGGCTCCTCCGCTCTCGTGGCAAGACCTCTTCCAGGCAAGCCTCCTGACACGGCTCCTAATACTGTGGCAATCATAATGCCAATAGCAACACTAATATGCCGGTAATGCATCGGATTTCACCGGGCTTCCAATTCTCCACAGCCACGCGGCAGCATGCAGCCCAGTGCTATTGGGTCCGCGCGCGCCGTCCCGGGTGGCACGGGCCCGGCAGGGTGCCCTCCTCCCGGCCACGGCTGCGGAGCTCCCTCCTCGCGCCGGCCGGGCCCCCGCTGCGCCACAGCACTGATGCCCCGGCATCTGCCTTCAGCACCACGCACAGCTGCGTGAGCCTGCAGAGCCCTCCGCTCCTTCCAGGCTGCCACTGGCAGCTCCAAAGTAAAACTTCAAGTCAAACACTCGCAGCTGCACCATATCTCCTGCAGAACTCGGCAAGTCAAAGGGAAGGAGCGAAGCTGTTTGCTCTCGTTTCTCTCCCCTCCCGCCATGGGGACAGCACCAAGGGAATGTCAACAGGGCTTTGAAAGATTGCTTGCAACAGCTGCCACTAACGTTGCTGCGAGCAAACACAGCTCAGCGCAAGCGCCGGCCCCGCGTGGCGGCAGCCGCGGCGCGAGGCGTCCCCGGGACAGGGCCCTGCAGGAGCGTGCACGGGGCGAGCGTGCGGATGCCAACCAGCAGCCCTGGGCACGTCACGGAAGCATGGAGAGGGCTGCCCCTCTCACTCCCAGAGGCTGGGATCGTCTCCCCCTCCTTCCATCACTCATTTTTCAAGCGAGAAGCAGGGACATTGCTGGCCCCCAGTTAGACATGGGCACTATTAGTGAAGCAACAAAAGGAAAAATTCCCCCCCGGCAGCTTTTGCCACCCCTGTGTGCAGACAAGTCTTTCCCTCCAGCATTAGTCAGGCATTTGTTTTTGTGTCAGCCTTCTCTTGGATTGTGCTCCCTCAAAACTTGGCTCTGTGCAGGGGTTTCTTCACAGCTCTGGAAGCCTCCCGGGTTCTTTCTGGATTAAAGATGATGAGCGATAAGAAGGGCAAGCTGAAGAGAACTTGTCTTCTAGCACTGGATATCTATCCTAGATTAGAGCATTAGGAGGATTAGGAGGATTAATTAGCAGGATTATTGGTGTTGCTGAGAAGTTCTAAACTTTGAGACTTCTCAGACAGTCCCTGCAGTGGTGCTGGGGATGGGTTGTGAAATGATACCGTTCTTGCAGCCACATTACTGGTGTGTGGATGATGGAGACCCACGAGAGCCTCTGCAGGACGAGCCCGTCTCCCGCTGCTTGCAGGCCCCCTCGGATCCCCATGGTGAGGCCAGGGCCCTGCAGGGCCATGGGGGACAGTGGCCGGCCCCGCGCCCCAGCGCTGGTCTCTGCCCGCTGCGGCGGCCCTCCGGATTTCCCATGCACTTCCACGAGGAATTTGGATGCCAGGTTCTGCTCCGTTCCTTCCGCAACCCCTGCTGTCTCCACAGCAAGCTCTTCCTCCACCTCTGCCTTCCCTTGGGGCACTGGGCAGTAAAATGTGCTCCTGGGTTCACCCTGAGAAGAAAACTCATATGGAAAGAAAGACAAGGTTGCAGGAGCTGTGCGGCCACTATAGGTCCAGCACAACCAGCCCACCAGCAGAAGGGCTCATCCCAGCTCCTCACCTGCTCTTGGCCAGCGCTAAGGGTTTTCAAGGAGCTCCAAGTGCCATGGCAGCCAAGGGGTCTTTGACTGAGTCTAATTACTCAAACATTATCTGGGACAAATTAAAAGTGATCTAGACCTTTTTTTAAAGAAAGGGAAACCTCTCACACAGGAGAAGTTAACTAAGACCTTCTGACATGCTTTGCGTAGCGTAAGACGTGAACATTTTTCATTTTCTCTCACACTGATGCTTCAAGTGCTTCTTGACAGCTCAACACCTGTAATGTTCACAGGGCGCTGCCGGGCATATTGCGACGTGCTGACACGATTACCTACAGGCGATACCTCATACCTCAGCTGCACCTATTTCTATTTCTACTAGCTATTTTCACAACCAGTTCTTCCTTCTCATTTCTCCAGCCAAATCATTGCCCTAGCCATATGCTTCATCTGCTTTTTTACTTTCTTTCAGGATTAGAGACAGGAATTAATGGTGTCTGTACAACTCCAGGCGTAACAGGGGCTCACATTGCCCCTGGTGTGTGCATTACAAGCATGAAGCAGAAGAGGGGAGGAAAAAGAGGGAATTTGGACCTTTAAATCCATGAGTTCTCTAGACTCTTCCCAGGAACTCATTTTTCAGTCCACAGGGGTGTTAATGCAGCAGATGGGCTCTTTGACCTTTCTCTGGCTGTCTGGAGGTGGCAGCATGTGGAGATGTCTTGAGAACGTCTAAAAGCAGGGAAGATTTTTCCACTAGCTGCACAGGCTGCGGAAAACAGAGGGCAACTGCAGAGGGAGGCGCCTCG